TGGCAGCCATTACTGTCTGTTTTCCAGAACAGTTTGTATTAATCAAGCTTTCAGTTGTGTTGAAGGGTTTTCGCAGCAGATTCACCCACACACCGGGCAAACTGTCACTTAATGAGTGTGTTGCTGTCAGGTGTGTGTGTGGTTGAGATAAAGCAAACGAAGGCGAGTATGATTGTTTTTTAAAAGAGAGAGGCGGACATTCACGGTCTGTAATCCTGATTTCCTGGTGAGCGACAGGCATTCACAGGAGTGTGAAATCCTTCTGTGTAGATATAGTACAGCAGAGTGCTGTTTTTGGCATATTATCCTGGGCTGCTCGGTTGATGTGTAAAACAGCAGTGCATTGTGGATCCTCTAGACGGATTAGCCTCAGATCGACCTCGGCTTCAAAGACGCAGATCACTGCTGTCAGCCAGAAAACAAAACATTAAATAAACGGAATCCTTCCCCCTGTCAACACTGTGTGGCCAAAGTGACAGTCTCACGCCTAATGATGACAGAAACCATTACATGCATGAATTCATATGTATTGGTTTGTAATGTATTCATTGATTTATATTCTTAATAGTAAAAGAGGCCTTATTTTTTGGAGTTTTCCCTTTCCTGTAGTGTGTTATATAGGTGCATGTAAATGGTCTGCAAAGGCTAAAATCCTAAAGTTCCCTCCAGAGGATGTTTCTCTCCCACACCCCCTCCGCCCTGCCTGAAACGCCTCCATTGAACTTCTTTGTTTACTTAAGAGACATAGTGACATCACTGCATAACACTCACGCTTCTATTGGCTAGCGCTCCAACACATTGTACGTGATAGGCTAAGAGGCGGGACATCTCTAAGCAGGTCAACCAATCACAACAGAGCCGGCCAGCTAACCAATCAGAGCAGACTGGGCTCTGGTTTCAGACAGAGGTTGAAAAGAGGTGCTGCAGCACAGGCAGTGTGAGACAAATAAAGAGCTTTTTGAACATTAAAGCATGTAATATGACCTCTTTAAAGTAGTTGGTTATGCTTTTAATTTGAAGGCAGGTTTGGACACCATGTGATATGAGCATTGTGTGATCAGGTATTTACTGGAAGCGAGTGGAGGGGGGATTAGCGCAACAGAAAGGGCATAAATTGTTTTCTTACCAGGGAAAGCCACAGGACAAGAGAATAGATAACAGCTGTTGTTCATTAGACCTTTAAAGGTCCCATGTCATGCTTTTCCGGTTATTACCCGTCCCCTTGTGTGTTATGAAGGTTTTTATGCATGTAAACGGTCTGCAAAGTCACAAACCCTCAAAGTACACCCTGTAGCGAGTAAAACTCTAACACAGAAAAGACCTGTCTATGCTGCCCCAGAACGCCTCGTTGGAGATTTCTCTTTTTCCATCGTTTGCTTCCTGGGTTCTCTGACGTGTGAATACCCAAATCAACAACAAATGACCAGATTGGCCCAAATGGACCAATCCGCGGAGCACCTCACACACCAGGATCCCTTGGCTAACTAACAGGGAGTCCCCATTGACTTGCATAGAGCTTCCTGAACGCTGGTAATAGGCGAGTTGGGATCACGGAGAAATGCTCTCCGCAGACCCATTCTCACAGCGTTTATAAACCTTTTTCTTACTCAATATCAAGCCACACTTATTGTTTTTACTTCGGCTGTGAGTGTTTGTGTGTGCTCAGGATGAGTTTCGCTTGTTCTCTCTGTATCGCCGACCCGGAAACCTGTCCGCTCCTCGCAGCAACGAGCCTCGCAACATCCCGACCAATCAGAGCACACTGGGCTCACAGGGAGGGGGGGGGGCAGGAGCTCCAACAAGCCGTTTAGGACAGAGAGTGAATACCTGGTGAATACACATACTATACAGAGATGCTGTATGAGAAACCAATGTGAGTTTGGAAAATTGCACAATATAAATCTTTTCTAGTAGACCTCAACAATGGAATTATGATCAGTAGAAATGGCCATGACATGGGACCTTTAATGATCAGTGTTTATTCAAGATTTCCATGTCAATGCAGGTATTCTCTTTATCAGCACTGTCCTGCTATTCAACAATAAAATATGATCCTCTTCACAAGACCAAAGATCAGCCACTAGTAGAACAATCTCAAAGCCACTTTGACAGTAGAGGCGGAGAGAATAAAATGCAGACCGCAGCAGCAGAAATATTGCATTATAAACAATGATTTATCACAGTGAAAAGCCTATTTATTTAAAATGGAAAATTGAAGCAGAGCCAATATCTCTCTGGTTACTTTATTTCAGTGGTTTGATTATTGCAAAGTGTTTCTACTGGACTGGTGATACATCTTCAGTTTCTGTATGTGAACATTAGACTATAATGTGAGGATCAAAGATGGAGGGTTTGGTTTTTACAATAACTATTTTTCAGAAACACATAATCCCTCTTCTCTTGCAAAAGGAAGCAATGCCTTGACTAAAACACTTTTAGAGGAAAATGTATAGACTTTATAATGCATGGGAGTTTTTTCTCATGAATTTGGGAGTCAAATACCATCTGAAGTATTTTCCCCATATTTGCTAAGGGTTTTTTCTTGTCTTCTTAGGCTTCACAACCCAATAAGACAATCATTTTGTAAAGGTTGCTCTGGTTTCCTGGTTGTTCTCCTGCAGTTTTATCAGTGATGAAGGTATAATATATGGATCATTTCTCGCTGATAGTGTGTTTGAGAGATAAAACTTTGGTGGAGTTCTTAATAAATGATAAGTGACTGGTTCTATAAATGTAGGTGCACCTCGTTAGAGATTTGGAGATGCCAGAGGGTCGTGATTACAGATTATCTTCAAAGATATCCTCGCAGAGATATCCTCACAAATGCCATTGGTTGGAGGCTGTTTGTCAAAGCTGCTTATACAACCCCCAGTACTCGCATGAATTCACCTTGAGGCAAGAATTGAACCCCCAACCACCCAAGAGATGTTGTCCGAAACAATGTGATGTCAACCATTTTGATGAGAGTAGATAATGATATGTATGATATCTTTAACTAAAGTGTTAAGTATATAAATTAAAATGTTTCTTACAGTTGTCGAGACTCTGTTTTGTCTGTGTCTCCTTTGAGATCATCACCCCCCCCTGCAGGGCACCCCGAAAGTCTCCCAAATCCCTCCTTCTCCAGCCCCATAATCCCTAATCCCAGATCCCTGCCATTCAGATACATTAGTGTATTATTCCTTTAATCCAAAGGGGGGGAGCGTCCATAAAGCAGCTTTTTGCATGACTCAACGAGCCGCCCTCGGATGAAGTAATTGACTGAGGGATAAGAACGCAGCCAATCACATCTCGTTTGAATTTGTTTCACCCAATGCCAGACTTCTTGAGCCCACTTTGTCCGTCACATAGTGCAGAAAGACTGTTATTGTGTGGCAGTGGACTGACTGGAAGATCTCTTTGGAAAGAGTGATTCTATGTTTTTGTTTCTTTTCAGATACAAAGCAGATGTTGCATCCAACTGCCCAGTGCTTTTTTTTTTGCAGATATTCTTGGAAAATATAATTTTTTTCAGCTCTTTTGATCTTGGGGGGATTCATTGTTATTAGATTTCAGTGAATAGGCATTTATTTGTATCGCTGAGATTAATAGAGTGATGCAGGAACGATTGTTAAAACCAGGAAATGACTCAGACTTTACCACCTCAAGTTCCCTCGTCTTAAAGTCAACAATATTGTAAACATGTTTTTAGTTGGAGGCCGGAAATAAGGCCTATTTTGTTCTTCAACATGAGATACATCAGTAAATACTCTACTTGTGAATGTTCAGAGCTTCTATATGTCTTACAAGCAGCGGTTGCTAACAAGCGACTTGATGAGACTACTAAACGTCATCATGCCGAAAACATTAGCCCCCTTTAGCTTAGCGATTGCTACGTGATGCAACGTTAGCTTTTTACTTCAAAAATAAAAAAAAGTAGTTTGGTTTTAATATGTGGAGATTATCCTGCTGAACAAAACGTGTGTTTGCCACAGAGCTTATTTCCTGCAATATTTGACAAACAAATGGAGAAATCCCATTGCTTTTTATCAACGGTCCACTTGTGATGCTACCTTCCAGGTCAGTCTTTAAAAGAAAAGTTATCACCGCACCACTCAATCGAAATTCCTGTATTTCTGGAACTGACAGCAAACCTAACAGAAGAAGATGGTGACGTTTTTCCTGCTCTGTCCCCAACCAGTTTGTTTTCAACCCCTCGAGTCTTTCCTTTTTCATAGTAATGGTTGCCGCATCTTCTGATTTCACGATGGTTTGTGTGGTTCAGCATTTTTTTTTCTACCGCTCGCTACACAGAGGGACATTTTTTCTAAAGCTGTGTGCATGTTTTCCAAGCACTTTCACTTGTCAAACACTTTGTCAGATTCACACTTCCCCGAGGATATCATTATTCGCCAATTTCGTGAACGAAATGTCCATAAAACAGACACTCATTATAAATCCATCATGACACTCTGCAGTGCTGATTGTCTCTACATCTGCATATAACTCGGAAACAAGAAACGCTAATAGTTCATTTGAAATACATAATTTGCCAACATGTCAAACGGTGCTCATTTTAGGTCTATTAATCATCCATTGAGATCATACAGGAGCTGCATTCATGAAAACATTTTATGTGAACAGGGTTAAGTTATTTTACTTACCTGCATATTTTATAAACTCAAAATGGGTATTTTCTGTCTTCAATTTTATTTATTCCTTTACAGTATTTCCGTATTTAACATTGTTGGTGCTCTATGTGAAACCAGCAGCATTCATCTTGTGTTCCTAATTATCCATACCCTCCTGTAACTGGAGCTCAATAGAGAATTTAGTAGAGCTGATCGATAAAAACAATGAAGTCCGAGGGAAACCCTTTCCACCTCTTTAAGTATGCCAGAGGTCTTTTTTCAACTGTGTTTCTCTAGGACTTTCTGCAAATTAGAAGGAAGAAAAGGTGTTTTCGTTCATATCCCGTTCGGTAAATGTGTACTAAGAAACCTATTTATTTGTGTTTGTAGGAAATGCTGCCGGGACCAATGCCACTGAGCAGGACAAAGCGGCCAATGTCACCGCCCTGCTTAACGAGGAGGAGGGGCCTGTCAAGGTCAATGAGGTCGTGGTCGCTGTAACCGGGAGCTCAGCCAATCCGGACGCTGTCACTCAGAGGGCGGGACGGATCCCTCGCGCCGGAGAGGAGGAAGACGACCAGAGCAGCGGCATGTTCGGCGAAACTCTGGTTCCTGCGGTGGACGAAGTTGCCGTTTCCGCTCCGCCTCGCATCAGCCCCGATTCTGCCGAGACGGACGACCTCCTGCTTAGCAACCCACGCGGGAAGGACGTCCTGGAAGAGAGCAAGGAAGTGGAAAAAGAGGAGGATGAGGATCGTCTGCCAAACACCGACCCACCTTGGATCAACGCCAAAGACACCGCCGTGTTTGACCTGGACCGCCTCTTCACCACCACCACCGCCCAGCCCTCGGTGCCCTCTAACCCCGACGTCCTCCACGTGGACTTCTTCGATCCCTCCTCTCGTGGGCGTGGCCTCGACTTGGCCCCGCCCTCTCCTTCATCGCTGGCCCACGAGCTGCAGGGAGGCGACTCGACCTCCTGGGCGATGCCGGACAACTACGACTACCTCACACCGTACGAAGATGGCGTGTCCCCCACTGCCGATGAGTACACCTACAGCACTACCACCGACACCTACGAAAGCGACGATGATCTTCGACTTGCCGCTGGATCTCCTTCTCGCTCCAAGCCTCGAGCACCAGGGTCCGGGTCCATCATTCCTGGGGCTTCAGTTCCAGGTGCAGGAGCTCCGGTACCAAACGTCCCCGCAGCAGGAGGTGCTCCAGCGTCTCTGGACGGCTCAGACGGGATGGGTGGGTGCCGTGTTGGTTTCCAGATGACGAACGGGAGTTGCCGCTCTCCCTGCGACATGCTGCCCAACTTCTGCTTCAACGGGGGGCAGTGCTACCTGATCGAGACCATGGGAGTCTTCTGCAGGTATGACACAAACACAAATGCATACTGCATTCACAAATCAACTCAGGCTATAACATTACAAGCCTTTCAAGTTGCACATATCTATTCTAATTCTTAACTTAATCATATAAATACAGATGTTTCATAACTTGCCCCTTCCAAATAACACATTTACTTCAGTGTCAAAGGTAAACAAGAAATTTGGCACCAAAATGTTGAAATTAAACAGAGACGGGCCAAGATGCAAATGCGGAAATGCCTAAAACTTGCATTCTCTCTAATATCCAGCAGGGGGCGTTTCCATTCGTTTTAGAGTGATAGTATAGAAGTCTATGAAAAAATAGATTTTTGCTCAATATAATACCTTAGTAAAATCTTTCTAATGAGTTTATGGTCTCAGTTGTTAATTGTAAGTGTACTTCAATACAGCATGATTTTCCTTTAGTAAATGATGATCCTATTTAGGCTAAAATAGATGATAAAGTAGGGTATATTTTAGGGAGGGGCTACCTTGTGATATGCAAATGACCCCCATGTTGTTGTCTTGTCTTGGTGCTCTCTGTGTTTGTTCCTTTCTTGGTTTAAAATCTAAATTTTGCGATACACTTAAAAACCAAAGCACTCCAGCTGCGTTTTGCTTCATTAGGTTTATTTATTTGCACGTATAATCTAGGACAAATGTTTTATGCAGCATGCACAATGGGTTTTACAGAATCATAATACACCAGTATGCAAGATTAAATGTGTCATTTGATGCACACGGCACCATTAAACTCTAGATTTATAGATATTTGAGTCCTCCTGGTCAGGAACATGTGGGAAAGCTCTGTGCAGAATAGAAAGCAGCACGTTATAGCCTTTTTAACAAGCCAGTTTTATGAGGACATGTTCTTCTGCCAGGCTGTGCTGAGATCTGGTTCTCCTTTGTCATGCAATGCAAACAAACAAACACACACACATATAAGTACATGAACACATGCTCAGAAACCTAAATGTTTTTTGTAAACAATCTTTAGACAAAACACTTTAATCCAATTATTCAAAGGCTTCATTGTTGTATGAGCACTAGCTACTGAATAGTTTGGCAATGACAATCTTAAGTCCCTCTTACAACAATGCAACATGCTAAATAAAATCAAGCAAATAAAAACAAATTAAAATAGTGCGAGAACATTTTTTTATTAAATAAAGCTGCAAAAAAGAATACACATAAAATATATTTTAAAATAAAATAAAAATACAATAATAATAACAAATAATTATAATAAAAAAAAAATACAAATAAAATACAATTAATAAATAATAAAAATAATAATACATATAATCAAATAAAACTTAAACAAAGGTAAATAAAAAAAATACAAAATTAAATTAAACAAATACCCAAAAACATAAAATCATATGTATATTGATAAAAATCTATACACACTCTGTTTCATTTCTATACAACCTGACTTCCAGCCTGCAGTAATGACTCCTCGATGCTCGACCCAATGGGGTTGCTGTGGTGCTGGATCTAGGTGGAGGTCAAAAGTCAAATGGATTAAGAGAATCATTTATGAAAATATGGCCTAAGCCACAGAGTAGTTTCAGTTCATCTGGCCGTGCATCATGAACGTCAACAATCACAATGCGTCTGCGGATCAAAGTGATCTGTGATGAGAGTAGCTACACTTGGTTCAGGATTAGAGATGTGGGATGGGGGGGGGAGGATGAGCGGTGCTTCGTCCAATAGCGTTTCTGATTTTCTAATACTGTAATTTTGTGGAACTGAGGTTTTTCAAAGTATATAATGAGTGGGATATGAAGGGATCAATACCTAACCTGCATTTAGAAGTCATGCTGAATTACTCCATGTCTGCTTTAAGATTAAAATGGATTACTTTTCATTTCTCTACCTTTGAAACCTTTTCCCCTCGCTTCTGTTCTCTATCATATTCTAATAAAGGTGTTATCTGTAACAGCAGTGAAATGTCCCAACAATAACTAGACCTTCATCATATATTTAGTTGAGTTGTGTAACTTAACTTACATAAGAGTGAACTTAACAATAGGTTATATTCAGCTTCATTTTTGCAGCCTATTTTGTCATTTTAAAGAGGGCCCTGTTAGCTTTTTGGGGTGTTCCCTTTCCTGTTGTGTGTTATATAGGTTTGTGTGCATGTAAATGGGTTGGAAAGGCTAAAAGCTGTCACAGTAGAGGCACCAAATACAAAAATGGACCTGAAAATAATCATAAAATGTCTTCTTTTAATGCTGTTTAAGGCCTACACAAAATGCAATATCCATAATCGTGTCTTACTCCTGTGGATGATAAGCTAAATGTGCATTATGTTACATCAACTTGAGATACTTCAATAAGCATTTCAGTGAGATGGAGATGGTAGTAAATGCTGAAAAAGGAGCAAAAAGGACTTCTTTCTACTGCCACCATTTTGTACTGGTGGTCCACATCCATACAGGAAGAAATCCATCACACAAGAGGCACGAAGATCAATTTAAAAGCCGGTTGAAGGAAAATGGCTGCACAAAAAGCAATTGTGAATAAGAGAAATCACCTGGAGTACAGTGAATATCCCAGACTGATGAGGGTGTTTTTTTACAGCTTAAATCACATAAACATAGGTTACATATATGGTTACATATATATACGGCATGAAACAACCAATCAGTGAGCGGAGATTTATTTATTTATTTATAATTAGTGAACAGCTGCACAGATTAACATGCAAATGTATGCAGAGAGGAGACTGGAGATGATGGAGAAAATATGAATCATCCTGCCCACAGCTACACACACACACACACGCACACGCACATGCACACGCACACACACACACACACATGCAAACACACAGAAATACCAGACATCTCAGTCTCAACTAAAACAAAAATCTGAGACGCTGAATGTCTCTGAAATGTGCGTCCCACTGTGATCTCCGTCTGCTGAAGGTTACATACAGTAGAGCATTACCCCCCCCACACACATACACACACACACACACACACACACACACACACACACACACACACACACACACACTAATCCCCACGCAGTGACCATGACCCTGATCCAAGCCACCGCTCCCCCCTCCATGTCAGAAGTCAGCAGTTGCATCATGATTTCAGTTCAAATGAGAGACTATAGGGTTTTTATTTGATATCCACACAGCATTTTCATCAGTGTCAACTTCCTGATGTTAGGCTACTTTAGAGTAATGATGTGATCATCGTACTTGACATTAAACCCTAACCTGTTAAGCCCGAGAGACCCCGGTACCGGGGCACTGCCGCAACATCTTGCAGGAAACAGTGTCTGAGGGCATGTTCATTTAATAAAACTATGAATGTTTTATATCCATGTAACGGGAAGAAACTCATCTAACTGATCATTTTTTTTTTTTTTTAAAGAAAACCCACAATGCTAACACTGAGCCTCTGAATTAGCAACGAGCGAAAAATGCTAACACCTTACTGCACCGAAAATCACTCACAAAACCTTATTATTTATCTTTTCACCACATCCAACACATCGTTTCACATCGTGAGGTGACACAGAATCTATTGACACCGACATTACCACTGAATTATACGTATTTGCGACGTTATAAGCAAAAACGGACATCAAAACAGGTGACGCTAGGTAGCTAAAAATGCTAACATTTTTACCTTGGCTCTGTAGTCTCTCCAAAGTGGTCTTCAATGGCATTAAAACGATAAAAACGCTGCTGAAGTTAATCCATAGGTTAATCTAATATGTCTGTGTCCCTTTGAAATGATTTCTGATAATCCATAAGCATTAAAACTGCTTTTCCGTTTCCAGATGTCAAAGCTAGAGATAGGTCCACTCTGATTGAAAATTACATGCGCGAAGCCCACACCTTTTCTCTTCACAACGTGTGTGTGGGGGACTCCCCCTTCGATTCTATTGGCTCTAATGGTCAGAAAGAGGTGTCAACCATCAAAATCGAGCAAGGGAAGCCAGAGATATGGAAAATCCACCTTAATGACCCCAGAAGTGGTTTATTTTTGCTAAATCTCTCTAAAAAGGTCAAATGTCACTTGTTTTGCATCAATCTTGATACAGGGTACTTATTATATGTTGTACTTTGGATTCCTAAAGCTTTTAGTCTACTAACCCATCATCTAAGGGTGGTTTTCACTATAAGTAAAAAAGAAATTTTGGACGGACACTATAATTTACAGTTTTTTACTATGTAAAATCTGAATTTTCTTTAAAATAAAAAACATCTATATTGATTCTGACTTTTCTACATCCAACTCACAGGTTTATCATTACTTTGAGAAAAAAGATTATGAATTTAACCCTTTTAGATGGGAAGATATGGTCATTTGTTTTGGGAATGTCATTTTCGAGCCTGAGACCTGAAAAACAGGCTCAGGGCTTAACAGGTTAAACAATACATGCTGTGTCTCAATAAAGGATACTTCACTAAGTACACCGCATGTCGTATACTGGGAACTCTTATTCAGTGTTCAAAATGTAGCTAACTAACTAGCGCCGCATGTTTGGTAATAAACCAATACAGATTGCTCAATTAACCCTATAGAAGTAACTTTGGGGTCTTTTTGACACCAGTATAATTGTACGTTCCTTCATTAGTGAAAAAAAACACATGTTTAGCTTTTATTTGTAGTAGAGTACAGTGTTCACCGGTCCAATTGTGGCTGGTCGCGTAATTTTCGTTACTCAAGGTTGCACACACTGCATTTTGCCTTTCTTTGCAGTATGCAGGTTGCAGTCAAACATCCCTTTTTCTGCATATAATCTACAGATTACAAGCGTTAATCACTGACAGGGAAACGGAGCAATGCTCACACAGCGCTGTTTAAAAAAAACTGTTGCTAAGTGGCCAACATGATCCAGATATTTAGGGCAGATTTCCGGCCTCAGTCAGCAGATAGTGATGAAGCTCCAGAGAGAGACGGAGTTTCACTGCTGGGCAGAATGCAATGTGGGTCAATGGAGCTCTGCTGCAGGTCAGCACCAATATGTTCCT